GCCTTGCTGTGCTCCCTTGGCTAAGCCACGGTAAAGCTGTCTCACTGGACCTTTGCTGTCCCGTCTGCCTAGTGGGGTGACGGAGATTCTTGTGACCTGGGAGGAAGAAGCATCGAGTGGCTCTTTGCTGAATCTGCCAGGGCCCGTGGTGAGCAGTGAGCAGTGAGCACCTACTGGCTATGATTCTACGGTAAGAGTTAGCACTCTGTGAGCCTGAGTCAAACAGGAGACAGAGGGTGTGGGTTTATGGGGCCATGGGTGACTCACAAGAGTAGACAGGACTCTTGCTTGATCTGGACCAAGCGGACAGGGATAGGTGTTCAGGTGTGAACTGATGCTCCGTGCCGTGCAGGGAACCAGTGAGCAGCAGATTAGAGTGTGAACAGCATCCAAGAAAGTGCTGCTAAGCACTTGCCAAGCTCTTCCCCGTGTCCCCACACGCAGGCGTGTACTCATACGTGTGCACATGCCAGCCTGAGAGACATGGTTAGCAGCCCTCTTGACACGGGAGCAGTTCGGCTCCTGTAGTGCAGGGAGGTGAGACCCAGCCAGAGTAAGAGCATCTTATGGGCAAGTAAAGGAACATTGGATAGTGAACGGTTCTGGAAAAGTCAGACTAGGGAGGAAACCACAAGCAGTTCTTGTGGCAGGGTGGGCTGCGGGAAGAAAGTTCCACTGACCACTCCAGGGGCAGGGCAATAGGGAAGAAGTCCCAGAGAAGATGGATTCCTAGGAGGGAGCATGGTCCAGGCCACAGCACCTGGATTCTCTGAGACTTTCTGATCCCGAAACAACATCAAATGTCCTCACTTCCACATCCCGTCTTTTGGGGATCAGAGTCCCTGACTTCCTGTCACTCAGAAGACAGTCCGGCTCCATGCTGGTGTCCTCCAGACCTTTGCCCCTGCTGTTCCAGCTGTACAGAAAACCTTTCCAGGCAGCACTACCGTCTCCACAGGCCCAGATCTTCCCAGCCCTCCAGACATCTCCAGGGACCTTTCTGTGAGTGTGGCCTGATAGACCCGTCTCCCTGTTCCTCCTCACCCTCCTCTCTTCCTCATGACAGGACACACATACACCAGGGAGGAAAAACGAGGCCCCTGAAGCCAGAGCCTCACATCCCTCCCCAGTGCCAAGGTCTCCATTCTGGTTCCTGGTAGCTTCTGAGTCTGCCCCTAAAGACCAAGATCAGGCTTGTTGGGTGACGCCAACAATCAGCCCCTTCCCACGGGGAGGATGCCCATGGGAGCAGGCAAAGTTAGAAACCAGTCCACCTGCTGGCCGACAGAAGGGCCACCATGCAGTGGGCAAAGCTGCTCCAGAGAACAGGAGGCACTTCTGGTGGCTTTCTGTTAGACAAGGAACAGGCCATCTCCTGATTTAACCCCCTATGACCTTTGAACTTCCCAGGAGGTCAGCAGCACATCCCCGTCCCCAGCTGTCTCTCTGTCTCTGCCCCAATGGGAGGGAGGGCCCTGGGCCTGTTCCATTTTGCTCCCGTATTGATCTGTTGGCAGCAATGGGCTGGATAATTAGCCAGGAATTAGGGTTTCTATTACAGCCAGGAGGCTGCTCCAGCTGATTTATCACCTGAATAATTTACTGTGATTGAAAGGAAATTAAAATGAACTCCATTTGACAACTGTGAGCTTTTATGGGCTTTAGTGAAGGCTCAAAAGCCAGATTAATAGCCTAGTGTTGGTTAATAGTCTGCCGAGGGTAAATACAGCAGGCTGCAATCGGCTGCGTCCTCTCGGTGGCCGGAGGAGGGACCCACTCTGCCAGAGCCAGTGCCCACCACAGTGACAGCCAGCATCAACTTGAGTTTTACTGAAACAGATTCCACTGCTGGACACACATGTGCATCTGCGCACAGCCGTAAACACACACACACACACACACACGCACGCACACGCACACACACGCACGCACACAGACATGCACATGCGCGCACCCACATCAGCAGATTCTTTTTGCCCCCTACTTCTCTTGTTCCGTGGTAACTTTCACTCACCTGTCATCTAGGGAAAACAGAACTACTTTTTCAATAACCATTTTGAGAAGGAAATGCTTCCTTGGCCCAGAGTGAGTCTCCTTAACCTCTTCCACCAAGGCAAAGGGGATTCCGAGTTTCCCTTGAAAAAGAGTCCAAGATGGCCACCCATTCAGAGCAGAAATTAGCAGGAAAGGCTCCCAACGGTGACCTCGGGACCACCCTGACGTTAAGCTAGTGATGTATTTCCCAGGAATGGGATGGGTAAGCTGTCCAGGCCCATGTATGTTCTGGAACGACCCACAGACTGTCTGAGGAAGGCCTGGCAAACACTAGCCCATCCAGGACCAGATCCCAGAACCCTCCAGGACACAAAGACCCATGACACCATCTTGAACAACACGAGGACAGGGAAGAGCCTTAGGTCAGACTCCAGCTCTGTGGCCTCAACCATCCTGGGCCTGAAAATGGGTATACAGTTTATTTCAAAGTTCAAATCCATAAACAGGGCCTCAGCGGTATGACCCAGCCGCTTGGAGGACATTTAAAGGGACGGTCCAGTGTGGGCTGCATTCAGTCCCTGTCACGCAGAGGTGAGTAACCTCTGCTCTTACTGTCAGTTGGCTGCACCTGCTGTCATTGTCCACCGTGATTACACAAATAAGAAAACTGAGATCCAGGAGAAAAAAAAAGCGAGGAGTTCAACAGAGCAGAGGCAGGGCTCAAAGCTAGGTCCTAGCTCCTCAGTCAGGACATGCTCTTCATTGCCCCCATTAGATCATTCAGTGAAAGTAACAACAAGCCCTGCACCAGGCCACTAACAGAGACGCAGGCCACTTGATTTGCTGGCAAGTGGATGAGATGGCCAGTCTCCACGGCCAGCAGCTCAGGGGCCCACTTCTTGGCATCATTACCATACCACTCTGAGGGACCACAGGGGTCACAGGCAGCACCCACGAACAGTCATTCGGAAGACAGTGAGCAGGAGGGGCTCGAGGAGCTCATACCCTCCATGCTCGAGTCTTACCCTGCAGCAGCCCCTCGCTCGGCTCAAGCCATCATTTGTCCCTGGTGACTGGGAACAGGGCGCGAGGGTGTGTCATTCATAGTCCAGTGCCTGCCTGTGTGCAGGGCGCCCTCCAGCCTCACCTTCACCTCATTACGGCGTGCCTCAGAGAGGTGAAGCGGATTAGCCAGAAAACACTGAGTCAGTCATTATCCTGCCGGCCATTTGCCTTGCTAGACCTGCCTCGGAACTCACAGACAGGCCTGCCCAGGCCACAGTGTTCTGAAGGACACCACAGAAACACATCTTCCCAGAGCCCGCACAGCTCAGGCCTCCTCCCTATTGGGCCTCGTCTCCTCCTGAGCCCGTATGGCCTCAGCCCTGGGATCTGTGCAGCAATCCCTCCTCAATACGGTTGCCCTCGGTGCAGCCCTCACAGTTAATGCTTCCCCCTCTTCAGCATTCCACATCATCCATCGGGCTTTCTCAGGTCTGTGGCTCCCGAGTTCACATCACACCAAGTGAGCGAGGAGGTGCCTGGACAGTTCTGGGATGCCTCCCAGGGAATGCCTGCTCTTGGGCCCATCTTCCCACACATTTAAATGGATAAAGTGGAACACAGCTTCCGGGCTTCGGCGAGACTCCCATGAAATGCAGAGGGACTCGACACTCAGTGTCTGTGTTTCATTCGTACTGGCTTGATGGAGATGCTGACAACCTTGTGTGGGAAAGCCAGGCCAGGCACAGAATCCTGGACCCTTGGTCACTTATTTACGTCTCACACAGCTCAGATGAAATGTGGCCTTTACCACCTCTCAGAAAGATTCAGCTGTGGAGGGCTGCTGTCTGAGTGAGTCTCCTCCACAAACCCAGGCTCTAGAAAGGGGTCAGCTCTGCCCAATGCACATGGCCATGTCACTGGCAGGGGAGGGATAATTTAACTTGTGAGAGAATGAGCGACATCCTCCCTCGGTCCATATGACCAGGCTCATCTCTTCAGCGTCACCTCCTGCCCTGTTCCCTGAACCCGGCCACACTGGATCTTTCCACTCCTGCTCTCTCCACCGCCCCTCAGGGCCTTTGCCCTTGCCATTGGCTCTGCCAGACACATTCCTCCACGCCCATATCCCCTATTGTCATTTACCATGGCAGTGTCCGAGATGGCTAGTCTCTGCTAGAGGCCATGTCACAGGAACTTAGACATCTCTCTAGTACCAAGCTGTGGTTCTTCTACAAATCTACAGGTTTGGGGGTGAGTCCAAGCTTATCTGCTCACTGACGGGCACATAGGAGCTGGTTCTGTGCCTTACCCGTACTAGACAGTTGCCAGGGTTTGCTTAGCAAATACTCGCTGAGCAGTCTTAGGCAAGCTGCTTTGTCTCTCTGGGCCTCAGTTTCCCCATCTGAAAGCAAACTGTCTAAATGGTCTGTAATCTCCTCATCTCAGAGAGAGCCATAAAAGAAAGGCTGGTGCCTGACTTACCTGTCAGAGCAGGGCCTTCCGATGACTGACCCCATGCCTAGCCTAGCCACACCTGCCAGAAGTCCCATGATGCCAAGCAAAGGCCAAACATCACGAGATATCATCCATACCCTCCATTACTGTGAGCCTGAGGCCACAAAGAGAGTCTATATATCTAGATCATGTTCCTAACTGAGATGACGGCAAAACCACCTGGCGTGGCCCAGAAGTTCATCACATACACCCCTATCCAAAGAGCCCGGGGAAAGCACACATTCGTTAGCAGCAGAGCAACCATAGGAATCACGTGCCTCTGTGGCTGGCTACAGACAGAGCTAGCAGACCAAGGAGCCTCAGAGGCCCCCTGAGCAAATCCCCCTGGCCTTGTGGGATGTTGTCACCAGCCAAGTTTGGCCAACACCAACAAAAAGCCCACTTTGCAAAGACCCTCGGCCTCACTGTACAGATGCCCCTGCTTCCAGGAATGACCCAGGCCTGCACGGTGGCAGCAGGTGTCGTGGGCAGGAGTCACGGCATACCTGCTCTGGCTTGATGGGCTCCGTGGTGGTGAAGATGTCTGAATAGTGCTGCCTCTCGAACACGCGGTCCAGCACCTCCAGCTGCTGCTGTGTGAACAGATCTCCCCGCATCTGCTTCCGGAGGAAGTCTCTGCCTGGAAGGGAGTGGCCGTTTGGCACTGGAGACTCCTGGATACCTTTGGTGAGCATGAGAGAGAAAGGGTAAGTGGAGGCTACTCTGCCACTCACAGAGGAAAGGCCAGACCCTGAGGCTAGGAAGGGGGCCTGACTGACCCTCCACCCAGCTCCCTGTCCATGACAGGGATTCAGGGGCTGCAGGACAAGGTCACCTGCTGCTAACTGCAGAGCCAGCTGCTCATGATCGCACGCTAGACACTGCAAAAGCCGGTCCGTTAGGGGTTTTGTCCCTTACTTTGCACACGGACTCCTCATACATGTGCCGCGGTTTGTATTTGTGTTCCCCGTGCTTAACGTGTTGCACGTTTGATAGTGAGTGAGTGTGTAAAAGGGGTGGAGGGGAGGAGGCCATGAGATTAGTAGCTCCCTCCTCTCGGCTTCCTGTCTGGTGGTGCCTATTCCTCCTGCTTCCTCCTCCCCCGCATCATCTCAGCTCTTTCCTCTCCCATACAAGCATGTGCACACTCACACGAGGCTGGGCCTGCACCACAAGTTTGAACTTGCAGAATCACGAGCTTCTTCACAAAGTTACCTGCCCTGAGGAATTGCGAGGCGGAAACCAAAACAGGAACTAACTCAGGATATTACTATTCTCCCGTTTCGCAGATGAAAACTCCAGGCCTACAGAAATGACACAGTTTCTTTGCCCAAGGATTTGAGCTCAGGGTGAGTCAGGGACTTAGTCATGGGTGGTATCGCCCCTGCTGTACCTCACCCTGCGCATTCATCCAGTCTGTAACACACTGTTCTCGGAAGCTAGGAGGACACTTGTACCATTCTAGTCACACACTTGTGCTAGATGACTTGACAAAAACCTGTCAAAATCCCATGTGCGCTGTCCCTGAGAGACTGCATTTCTGGGGGTATATTTTATAGCTGGCTTATGTATATGGAACGTGATAGATGCACAAGGTTCTTGGAACAGAAGGCTGGAAACAACCCAAGTTTATTCATAGGGATCTGGCCAGACAGGCTGTGGCGTTAGTGGAACAACGGAAAACCATGCAGCGGCGAACAGCAAGCAAACCAAGACGCAGAGACTTTCAGGATCCACAGTTACATGGAGAATGAGCAAGGTGCAGCATCCTCATGTCCACAGGGTTTTGTGAAAACAGAGAAGAAAAGATGGCTTGATGTGTTCTTACTAATGTTCAGATGCATGGATTCTGTGTATACATATTTTCTAGCACAAATATAAAAGAAATATTGCATATAATGCAACTGCCTTTTGTTTCAGAACTTGAAAGCACTGCCTATTCTGATGCATAAGTTAAGAAAGTATCCTGCTATGTTAGCTGTCCACCATGTCTGTCTCTGGGGATGGTGTTTTTAGTTCAAAGAAAATACAATGAACTATTAATTTGAAAAATGGGGTTGAACCGTCTTTTGTATGTTTTAAATTTCACACACACGCATACATACACACATGTACACGTGCACACACGCACACACACATGTACGCACGCACACACACATGCACGCACGCACACCTGCAATGCTCAGCTTGTTCCCGCTCAGCAACTGCTCTGTCCAGTCATCCTGTCCCAGCCACTTCTGCCCCAGTGACCTTGCACTCCAAAGCACCCCTCAGGTTTTTTGCTGCCATGGAGATCATATCAATTTTTAAGAGATTGCTTTCTGCTTCCCTACTTTAGCTAACCTCTCCAGCCTGCACGCTGCCTCCCAGTCAGCCAGCAAACTCCAAACAAAACCAACTCCCACCAAGATCTCCACTCTTTCTCCTACTGGTTGTTTCCCGAGAAGGCCCAACTCTCTCTGCCTTGCCTGCAGGCTTCCCAGCCAGCCAGACCCTCTCGCTGAGAGTCCTGCAAGGGTATAGCTTCGTCTCCTGAGGAAGCCCAGGGAGGGAGGCTTGACTCTGGATCCCTGTGGACAAGGTCACTGGTCACCAAGTAGGGCCCAGCACAGAGTGAGGGTTCAGGGCATGGAGACAACTCAGGTTGTGTACAATAGGTCTTTGGGCCCCTTGAGAACACTGTGTGCAATGTGGGTTCAAGCAGCTTGGTTGGGACCTGTACCCACTTCTACAGGGTCTTTCAGGAAAAGGGCTGGCCTGGTTCAGCTGTGACTTTTTCCCTAAGCCAATATTGACCCCATGGGCTGCACTCAAGAGAATTCAGGCTGCTTTGATGACCCAGATGCTACCAACTTGTCCCAAGCAAGCTCTTCCATTCACATGCCTGATGAGTGTGGAAAAAACCAAGTGACGTTTCCTTAAGAAGTCATGGGATTGCTGAGCATAGTGGTGCATGCCTGTAATCCTAGAATTCAGGAGGTGAAGGCAGGAATATCAAGAGTTCCATACTAGCCTATCAAAAGATTCTCTGTCAAGAATAAAAACAAAAAACAAATAATTAACAGCCACAAAAAGACTTAGGACACTCCTAAAGACATAATTACACATTCACTTTAGTAAATACTTAAAAAGTTACTCTGTACCAGGTAATATTAAAAACTTAGGATGATTTTGTTTTTAAGTATGTGTATGTATAGATGTTGTGTCTGTGTGGAGGGGTTATGTATTCATAAATGTGGGTGCCCACAGAGGTCTTGGTTCCCCTAGTGTTGTAGTTACAGACAGTGTGATAAGGGTGCAGGTACCTCTGCAAGAGTAATACATACTCATAACCACCGAGCAATCTCTCCAGCTGGCAAATTAAATTTTTATAAAGCAAACAGGAAGAGAGGATGCAGTGGTGAGGGATGCAATCTCGATAGGACAGCCGACCTCCATGAAGAAATCAAACAAACAAACACGTGACTGCACACAGCCCGACAGTGAGTATGAAACAATGCACAGAAATACGCACGTGTAACCATGTAAAGCTAGAGGGAATGCCCCAGCCCTTGGAGGTAAGGGGTGGGAGAGCTTCTAAGGGGTGGGGCTGTGTTTGAATCCTAAGTAGAGGATGGGTAGGAGAGATGAAATCCCGGGAGCCTGTAGAGAGGCTCAGAAGCACAGAAAACTTGAATCTTACTGAAGGAGCCCCGAGCAGACTTGAGCAGCTGGGGAAGAATTACCCACTTCACTTCTCAACCCTAGGCCCTGTTTCCTAAACTCTGCTTCCACCTGCATCTTTGGAGACCAGGAGCCAATCAATATAGCGTTTGCTGTCAGCCTGTTAGCTGCAGGTTACCCAATCACCCCAGGAGTAACACAAACTACACTTCTCATTGGCCTGTGCCCTGCTTTCCAGGACGGACAACCTGCAAGTGCACACACTTCCTCCTCCAGGATGCCTTCCATCCTGCCCCAGTACTTTTCCAGCTCCTGTTCCCAGGACTCTAGCCACACCGCATCTCTGCAGCAAGCCCCTGGCCCTCCGTGCTCACACTGTGCTATTCGTTACTTCATCACTGTCGCTGCTGGATGAAGTACCTGTGCAAAGCATTTACGACCAACACCTTCCTTCTGCAAATTTGGTCTGTACGAATCAGGATCCCTCCATGGGTCTTCACTCAGTCATTCCCTCTTGCCTCAGCCCAGCTCTGCAAATGTTGATGCAAAGGATGCAGCCATAGACAAGAGAGCCCTTTTCTTCCTGGAGTTCTACCCATGGAAGAGGCAAACATTAACTGGAAACTACTCAGGCCAGGCCAGGCGAAAGGATCAGCCAAAGTGAGCACTCTAGCAAAAAGGAATCTGGTGCCAAGAGGGCAAGGACACGCCAGTCTGCCTCTGGATGCTGCGCACAGTGGGTGCACTGTGGGTATGAGCGGCACCAGGAGATCATGTGCTCGGAGGCAGCTACAGAGACGAGCACAAAAAATCATCCCCAGCACAAGGGCAAGTCTGACCGCCAGGCAGGCAGTGTGACCGTCTGTGGCGCTTCAGAGATGTTGACTTAATTGGAGGCATGTGGTCTTAGAGTCAGACTACAGAAAGACTCAGACCGGTTTTATTTCAGGGAGAAACTCCAAACTCACACCGTGGATAGTATGCTTAAATATATAGGCAGATATGGGCAAAAGTGCAAAGATACAGGGGCACGGTATCTTTAAATCTTTTTTTTTTTCAGCTCCAAATCAAATAATATGTAGTAGACCCAGTGCTGGGCTTAGTCAACCATGGCTCATAGAATTAACATTCTGGAAGCTAGCTTCAGGGGAGCAAGGGGCAGGAAGCCCCTTCTCGGGAAGCAAAGAAATGCTGGCTTCAAATTTCAGGTTAAGCCAATGTTATTCAGAACCCAGCTTTGAAGCTAAAAGCTTTATACAATTGGGTTTGGTCACGCAAAGCAGGAAGAAGCAAGATGGCCTGAGATTCCCATCTGGTGGGAGAAAGCTTTCTCTTGTGTGTCTTAAAAGATCACAAAGCCATTGCGTTTTCTTCACAGCACGGCAGATTCTGGGAGTTTGCATTTCTCTTGCAGGGTTCTGGTTTTTTCTTTGAAAACCACCACACACTTTATGTCTAGAGATGCTTGCTGGGAGCAAAAAGATAAAAGCGAACAGGAGTCTGCAAAACCCCTCTGGCATCATGGCCTCTGGGACTTGGCCTCGGCTGGACACTGAGGAGCCCTGAGAAACCAGGTTGGAGTTTCGGCAGTAGCTGCTAGCTATTCTCAAAGTTCTGTTTCTCCACAGGTCTGGGAGAGCCCCAGAGCCATACAAATCTCTTCTGTCCTCACAGCTTGTCCCCAGCAGGGCAGCCAGGCCCAGTGGGAGAAGTATTAAGAGCTGGCAAACCTGAGTTCAAGCTGTGTGTGCTTGGCTAAGCGTCTCTCTGTCTCTGGGCCCCAGAGTACCCACCAGTAAACTGAGGAGGTTGAGGACCACTGAGGTACTCACTGAAGCTGATTACAGTGGTACACACCTGTAATCCTTGCTCCTGAAAGGCTGAGGCAGGAGGATCAGGAGCTTGAGTCCAGCTTGGACTCCATAGTGAGACTGAGGCTAGCTTAGGCCACAAAATGAAATCCTGTCTTAAAATATATAGAGAGAGAATATAAAGCCATTTCTAACTCCTTTCTCATTC